CAACTCGACGAGATGAGTCCCAGTCCAAGGCCAGCGGAGAGCTGGGTGCTCCACGCGGTGCAACCTGAACTGCGACCAGTTGGGGTACCGTTATACCCTGGTTGTTTTCAAGCTACAGATGCGGACAGACTACGATATACCACGCTAATTCGAGGTCGGGTGGACTCCTTATTAAGAGACGAGGCGTATTACGCAGAGCGTCGAGCTCGCAACGACTCGTTCTTGAATGCCGGGGAGTGGAAACAAGTTAAAAAGGAGAAGGACTTGACGTTCTATCGACGACTGCAACGAGGTCGCTCACTTCGGGAATTGGCACTCGAGGAGGACCTTCCCGAGATCCAACGAGCGGTCGAACGCGGCTATACGAGTATGATCTGTGACGGGTTTATGAAGGGGACGATTGAGGGCATGCTGTATGGGATGACAGCGTCGTCTCAGGACGATTTAATGACAGGATTCTCGTTCAAAGACCCGCCCAAGGACTGCGTCTGGCTTGGCACAGTGGAAACATCCACTCGGGAGGACCCATTCCGCTCAGCAGATTTGATCTGGGCCCTACCCAAACTACCTCCAATGCTTGACCAGGTCGACGTCTGTTATCTCAAGGCAACAGGTGTGGAAATGGATGCAAACGGCGAGAAATATGGGTACATGGTGTTGCATGGCGTGCACATTGCCCAGTGCCCTCCATTTGCAGCGCACGGGATTTCCCGCGCGAAAATGTATTTTGCCTGTTTGTTTCGGGAACCACGCCCTGGACTTTTAAAAGTGACGGTGCGAGGCATCTTCGATCTCAGTAAAAAGGTGAGAATGCTCAAGGGACTCGTGTCTGCCGCTACAACATCCATAATGGTCGGTCTTTTCAATGGTGTCGGGATCGGTGAAGCCAAGAAACTCACCCTTCTGGCAAAACGCAATCGTAGCAGACTCCACGACCCTGTCAACACACCAAAACAGTCACTGTGTTATATGTGCTGCAAGCGCGCATCATTTTTCGGTCGTGCAAATGTTTTCGGGACGCATTTAGTCACGTGTTATGTGTGTGGAGGAACCGTGTGCTCCACTGTTTGCTGAAGCGACGAGTGTTCCTTGGAGCGAACCATCCGTGTTCGAAAGTCGACTGTTGTCCAAACTGCGTCCGAGATGCAGAAACGACGATCCACGTGCGGCCTGCAGAGCCAGAATTTCTGGTCGTGGCGGAGTTTTACCTCAGCCAACGCTCAAGGATGTTGCCCGAGATCCACGCAGAACTTCTTCCACGTAACGATGGGATGAAGACAAATTCTTCAGCAGGGGTGCCAACAACGTCGACGACGGACGAGAGCGTGGGCGAGTACCAACTCGACTTTGACGATGATTCGTTCTCTATTGCGCTGACTTTACCTGAGCTACGTCGAAGTTCTATCGAAGACGTGGACAACAAAGAACCGGATTCAAGTCCTGAGGCCGAAGCTGGCTCGTTTTCGAGTGAGATTATGGTCTGGGGGCACCGGATTAGTGTGGACGATGACGATTTCATCCCTTCCACTGCAGCCGACAGGTTATACAGCGCTATACAGATGGAGCAAAGGCTTTTGGAGTTGAATATGCAAGCAGAGCAAATCTACGCGCAGACGCAGGAGACGACTATGAGCTTGCGAGGATGGCAAGATCGAAGATGATGAACAGGTGCAATAATAGTTTAAGGGTTTTCGCTAAAAATGTACATGATAAACGCAGTGCTACAGAGTTTGCTGCATGGACAAATTTCAAGATACATTTCAAAAATATACCTACTCAAGCTAGGTAAAAATGACAGAGTAACCTTTCCGCCACAATGTTTCGCGCTTAAGCGGCAGCACCCGGAGCTCCTCCAGTCAC